GCTCTTCCTTCAGTGCTTCCTCCAGAACCCTGACTGTGTTTTCCGCGTTCCTGTCTAGAGATTGGCCGGGTGATGATTTACCCTTTACCTGCTCATGAATCGATGCCTCTGTTTCTCCGGTTTCGAGTTTTGTTAGGTTCTCGTCAAATCCTGATCCGCGAGAATGATTCTGTTGGAGACTCCTCTCATGTTCTATGTTCCTGCCATCTACATTTTCCAATCAGAAGGTAACTCGGAATCAGAATCTGACAAATACTGAATAACAAAAAAGAGGAAGAACGACGCCCAAAAACATGTAACAGCAGATCATCTGAATCGTAAAAGGAGATTTTCAATAGTAAACTCAGGAAGAGGCCACCAGATCGTGCTCATTACAACAGAGTTTTGGAATGGCATAAAGCAAATCCTCAACTATGAACACAAGAACTGATGGATATATCATTGCAGAACACGAAAACAAACCTTGAGAATCAACAGCCTTGGGACCTCTTTCAGGATGGCCATCTCCGCCTCTGGCAATGACAACATCATCAGAAAACCGTGGCCAAGAGTCCATCATGTCACCAATGGCTTGCAATTGCAAACCGTCGAATGAAGATATCGATGTAAGCGTTCCAGAACCCGCAGAGATTATTCTCCTGTGGCTTCTGATGCCATTACTCAATCTTCGGTTGACAAAACGCTTACTCTTTGTACCTCCCTGAATGCCAGCCAGACCGAGCCCATCTTGGCCATTGTTCGTAACATTTTGCTTTCCTCTGGTCACATCTCCTGCCTCATGCTGTTCTGGTAATAACTTAGACGAACCCTCGCTCTTGATTCTCGATTTACTCACATCACCGCTGTTCTTTCTTCTCAGCTTTAACTCAAGACATCGGTTTGAGCCGTCATCTGTAATCGAAGCAAAGGGGATTTTGCTTCTGACCAAGCGATCTACCGCTGAGATTCTATCAGATGCGCAATCCACAAGATGCCCCTGAAGGCATTTCCCCTTTCTTGCAACACCAAAACGTCCATTGCGAGAACTTGTTGTGAGAGGTAGTCCAAGAATAGCTACGAACTTCAACGCGATGTACACGAAAAGAGATGTGCAGAGAAACATATACGCAATGGCGAGATCAAGAAATGCGCCTATAAGACCGGCCAGCTTCCAATTGATTTGTGTATCGGCGGACGGCATTTTTCCTGAATAGATAGCTCCAGTTCTACAGCTATTTCCGAAACTGGACAACACTTTACACCAAATCTACGAATTCGATGTTTCTGAAAACCGCAGTAGGCGACAAGCGAGGCGAATCTGAAGGAAACCCACGAAAGTCCGTGTCGTATCGAAGAAAATCCAAGGAAGACCCTGAAACAACGATCAGCCTCAGCAATCTAACTCTGATCTACCCAATTCAGAATTCTGCCTCAGTACCATAACCCGTCAAAGGAACTGCACAAATCTTTCAAATACGCTCTGAAACTTTCCTTATCAACAATGTCCCGTTTCAAAGAAAACTGCAAACGGAACCGACCCAGACGCCTGAGTCTCGAATAGGCAAAGTTGCTATTTTCGTGCGATGGAGAAAACCCAGAAAATTCGGAATGCCGTTCGGATAAGAGAGAGAGAGAGATTTCTAAATTCGGTCGTGTAAGCTTTGCTCGAGAATTGTGATTGGGACGCGACGAATCTCCGACGCGTCTGGCCGCGTCTTACGACCGTATGCTCCGTACAGGGGAGACGTATGAACGACATAATTCCCAATGGAGTCAAATCACGTGCACATCACGTGCAGGATTCTCTCCATCTAGAGAAATAGGCCGACGTACTCCGACTTAAGGCCCAATTAGAGTCCAATATCGATACTCTTTCCATGTAAAGTGATAAATGGGCTTACGTACTCGACTTAAGGCCCAATTAGAGTCCATTATCTATACTCTTTTCCATTTATGTTATTTAGTGGAAATATTTATGTTCACAATTAAAAAAACACATAAAATAAATTTCAATTAAAAAATTGTTGCCGCGTCCAAATAAATTGAAGCATATAATGTCAAGACATAAACACGTTTATGTGTTTTAAAAGCTTTTTAATTGACGGGTCGTCGTATTGTGTGTATGAATAAAATAACATAATCAATTAATTGCTGCATGTTTACAAAATAATGCATTGGAATATTTACGTTAGTTTCATTAGAATCTTAATTCGGTTTGGATATGGTAGAGATTTTTAAAACTGGTAAAATAAATAAAACCCCATAATCTTTGTTTTCTCGCAACACAACACAATAATTAATTTAAAATTAATCGTTTTTTACGTTTTAATGGTTTATTATTGTTACTATTATTTTCTGTCTTGTACCCTTTGCAAAGTAGGTCGAAAAATTCCACGTGTTTCTCATATCATAACGTCGAAAAAAAGAAAATGAAAACGTGAATGGTGGGCTGATTTGATTGATTATCCGAATATTGGAGTTAAATCAAAATGCTAATAATGACTTTTGTGATGATTTAATTTCGTATTGGCGCGTGTATAAATGCTGCTTGGATCCATTTATATAAACATTCCCTTGTCTTATCACAAATTCATTTACATTTACTGCTTTTCTCCATAGTAAAATTCACACTGATATAACAAAAAAAAATGTTTTTGTCTGTGAATTGATTTGTCGCCATGGCCCATGGTCCAACTTGAATTTAATATTTAAAGGGCATTATACAACAACAAAGATAGCTTCACTATTTTATTTTATTTGTTGGTTTTTGCAACAAAGAAAAAAGAAAAGTTGACTTTTTGTTATCGTCTATTTAATATTAATTAAAATTATATAACAAATAGATAATATCAATAAAGAGTAGTAGAATCAGTTAATGTCATTATATGGGTTCATACATTGGGTACAAATTATGAAATACAACCGATTAATCAAAATTATATATGCTAGAATCGAAATAAGATAATTAATTAACCCAATGGTATAGCTCCATGGTGAGGCGAGAATTGGTTGGGGTGTCAATTGTTGGTCCCGTGTCCGAGCATCTATGCTGGGGAGGGAGGAGGTATTTCTTGGTTGGGAAGATATTGCTATCTGGACCTCTATCACCAAACCTCTAAAAGATGCTTCCGGGTCTGAGGGATGTAGGTTGGACCGAAGGTACAGATGAATCTCTCGATTATTTTTTTAAAAAATTATTATCGGAAATGTTCCAAAATAGAGAGACAAATTTTCAAGTCAACGTTCTTTCGGAGCCCGAGTATAAGAGCACGCTGCACGCGTTTTGTAAGTCTACGAAATACGACGACTAACCAACGATTCATATCCACATGTATGAAAATTGAATTATAATATTTTTTTTTTTCTAAAATTCCGACATTTTCCTCAGAATATGACTTACGACACATCACATCACGCGACGAGATAATAACATGTGGGTCGGAAATTCAACCTTTTTAACGCAATCTTGTTGAAATTAATGGCTCATTTCCCCAAATAAATAAAATACTTCAATTCTCGACGTACCATATAATATATTATCATTTTTTTATATAAACCCCTTGCCGCAATAATTAGTCAATAATTTTCGCATATGTGGTAAGTGTTCTCATTGTTTTCCGCATTGTTATGGCGGGGGGGCGGCGTTATATAAACCCCTTGCCGCAATAATTAGTCAATAATTTTCGCATATGTGGTAAGTGTTCTCATTGTTTTCCGCATTGTTATGGCGGTGGCCCGTCGTCTTTGCTTCGTCTTGCCGGTGGATTCCGGCGAGCTACAGCCGTCGGTTGCCGTTGACCGGACCGGACATACGGAGAAGAAGCCTCGTGTTTCTCGGGAATGTGGACGTCAAGCACTGACCTTTATCGGCGATTTTTTCCGGCGAATACAAAACTCGAAATGGGTAAACCTGGATTTCTGCAACAGTGACACCAAAGACTCTGTCTCACAAGAGATCAAATCCTTCGTCGACATGGAAGGTGTTCAGATTTCCGGCAAGATCGGCTGCGAAAACCCGCGAATCTTCGGATACTCCGAGCTCTACATCGGATCGAACGGCTTCAGCGACGACCTGATCCTCGGAAGCGGCGGATTCGGTCGGGTATACAAGGCGGTGTTGCCGAGCGACGGAACCACCGTGGCCGTGAAGTGCTTGGCCGACCAGAGAGGTGAGCGTTTCGATAAGTCTTTTGCGGCGGAGCTCGTCGCTGTGGCCCAGCTCCGGCACCGGAATCTGGTGAAACTGCGTGGGTGGTGTGTCCACGAGGACGAGTTGTTACTCGTTTACGATTACATGCCGAATCGGAGTTTGGATCGAGTACTTTTCCCGTCACCGGGGAGCAGAAACTCGGGATTCGAACCGTTGGATTGGAATCGGAGGACGAGAATCGTTCGGGGACTCGCCGCCGCGTTGTTTTACCTCCACGAGCAACTGGAGTCGCAGATCATTCACAGGGACGTGAAGACGAGCAACGTGATGCTGGATTCCGAGTTCAATGCTCGCTTGGGCGATTTCGGGTTGGCTCGGTGGCTCGAGCGCGAAATCGAGTCAACCCCGATTTACGACTCGTCTTCGTCCTTGGCAGCGTCGTTTAGGAAACATCAGTTCCGAGTTGCCGAGTCGACTCGGATCGGTGGGACAATTGGGTATTTGCCGCCGGAGAGCTTCCGGAAAAAAACGGTCGCCACCGCGAAAACCGACGTGTTTAGCTTCGGGATCGTGGTGCTCGAAATTATCTCCGGCAGACGCGCCATCGATCTCACGTATCCAGATGACGAAATCGTTCTTCTCGATTGGGTTCGGAGATTATCCGATGACCAGAAAATTCTTGACTTCGGCGACTCTCGCTTGGCCGACGGAGCTTATTCTCTCTCCAGCATGGAGAGATTGGTTCATATAGCTTTGCTCTGCACGTTGAATGACCCGCAATCGAGACCCAGCATGAAATGGGTCATCGGAGCACTTTCCGGCGAAATATCTGGCAACTTTCCGGCGTTACCTTCCTTTGAGAATCACCCGCTTTACCTCCCTTTATATTCTCTAACTTCAGCTACAACAACCACAACGACAACCACGACGATTACAACAACCCCAACCTCCACAGCGAGCTCCAACACGTCGGCAGAGTCCACGCCGTCGACAAATTACGCCACTAGCCTCCAAGATTCGATCTACCAGACGGTGGAGCAGGGGCAAAACGGGTATTTCAGCAATAATAGTCGCCACGTGGGGTCGCCCAATTGGTTCGTAGTCGACACGCCGAGGGAGATTCCGTACAACGACATCGTACGGGCGACGGACGATTTCTCGGATGCTCACCGGGTCGCTGAGGTTGACTTCGGTACCGCTTATTACGGTTTACTTAACCGGGATCAGCAAATTGTGGTTAAACGTCTCGGTATGACGAAATGTCCGGCTTTGGTGAATCGGTTCTCAACCGAGCTCGTAAACCTAGGCCGGTTGCGCCACCGTAACCTTGTCCAGCTCCGTGGTTGGTGCACTGAACACGGGGAAATGCTCGTGGTTTACGATTATTCGGCGAACCGGTTGCTTAGTCATCTTCTTTTTCATAACCGAAAATCTGGGAACCCGGTTCTGAGGTGGAGGAACCGGTATAACGTGATCAAATCACTTGCTTTCGCAATAAGGTACCTCCACGAATAATGGGACGAGCAAGTTGTACACCGAAACATAACATCTTCGACGATCCTCCTCGATCGAGACATGAACCCACGGCTTTGCGGGTTCGCCCTGGCCGAGTTTCTGGCAAGAAACGCTCAAACCCATCAGAAGAAGAAGAAAAGGTCGTCGGCGAGAGGGATTTTCGGGTACATGGCTCCGGAGTACATGGAATCAGGTGAGGCCAAGACGTCGGCCGATGTGTACAGTTTCGGGGTGGTGATACTCGAGATGGTGACTGGCCGACACGCGGTGGATCTTCGCCGGAGAAAAGAAGATGCTCTTCTGGTTTTGAGAATCCGGGAATTGGTCGGAACAATGAAGAGGCCGTTAGACGAGATTGTGGATATTCAGCTAAAGGACGATTACGACCGAGGAGAGATGGCGAGGCTGTTAAGGTTAGGGCTGGTTTGCACGAGGACGGATCCGAAATTGCGGCCAAGCATGAACCAGGTGATGGGCATTTTGGACGGGAACGATAAGTTTTTCGTCGAAGATGGGCGACGAGAAGGTAGCGTGAACCGCAAGCAGATGTATGGTCCGTCCATGTCGGTGATCCGTGGAATGCAAGCTCTTGGGATTCATTGATCAGCTTTGTATTAAAGTTTGTTAGTGTGTACAAAAAAGATTACGGGTATAAAGACATCTCTTTTTACATATTGATGGTCCAATGTGCTCCTGTCGGTGATGAATTTTTCGAATTTTGGTTAATGCTGATCGGTTAAGGCTTTAGTGAATTGGATCTATAATAAGTTTTCGGGTCGTTGAGGCGAACCGAGGATTTTGATTTTGTTGTATGGTTCCTGGATTCGGTTGCCATCGCAAACGATTTGGTGGAAAATTTCAATAGCACCAAACCGGTATTGGTAAACACAAAACCGGACTTGACCAAATCTTTGTCTGTGTCGGATTTCGGATTTTGTTGGGAACTTCTAACCGATGCCGGGTTTTGAGATCTAAGTAGCGCGACTTGAACAGAGCTGAATCTAAAACCCTAAACCCGTGAAACAGAATATCTTAGCATTCCATTTCTTATGCTTCTCGATTCTCCATTTCTAATCAAGTAATCGATTTTTGGGAGAGCAGCCATGGCTCTCTTTCGATTTGCCTTTTATCGGAAGCTTCGGCTACGGCTTTGCGGTGGTGGCGGCGGCGAAGCAAGTGTTAATCCGTTCGGGTCGCCATGCTTTCGTTCACATCGAGCTCTCTTCTCGACTCATAAGCTCATCGGCGAAGAGCCAGTTCTCGTGAGTTCTGTCTCTCTCACTCGTTTGTTTTTTTCCTGAGCTTTGATTCGTGCTGAATTTGTGCGGATTCTGCTCTACCCATCGATCTCCACGTCTTTGTTATTAGAAATGTCGGCGCCCTAGGTGATTGAAATGGAATCATATTCATGAATTTGTTGAATACCTGATGTTTGATCAATTTTTCAGTGTCTTTGTTAATGTTTCCTTGTGTTGCATCGGACAGCAATACAATAACCATCTGCCTCGATCATCTGTCTTCTATGTTTGCGTATCTTGTTTTGGCCAACTATGACATTAGGTTTGGGTTTAGTGTCAGTTGTTTTCCTTAATCCAATTCCCTGTTGTTTGCTTGTCTTCATGTTTAGCTCAATTTGACTGCTTTAATATTGGAAAATCTCGTCAAAACGAGAACAGGTTCGGGATTTCATACACACTGCACTGTACGATCCAAAGCATGGTTACTTCTCAGAAAGATCACTTTCGGTCGGAGTTCTGGAGAGAAGCATTAAGTTTAACCATCTTGAAGGTATGCATTTTAAAAATTTTAATCACTCTTATTTTTCTGCTCTGCCTTTGATCCTTCATGGTTTGAGTGAGATCAATAGGAACAGTGTTGTGAGGAAGATAATGGATCTTATGAAAATAAGTTAAAGTAGATATTTCAGCTGTAGTTTGGCCAGATTGACCTGAAACCATGGTAGAGTTAGGCACAGTCGCACAGTCCTGTGGAAAGAAGAACAAGTTTTAACATAGAAAAAGGAACACATCTAGTGGTATCAGATAGGTGGTGAGCAGCTTGTGAAACTTAGACTGAAAAGCAAATGGATTTACCCGGTCAATAGGAAAATGGAATTTTTTCATCTGGATGGTTGGATAAGATCGAAAGTTTTGAGGAGCTTATGTGAACAACTAACAATGATCAATGCTAAGTTATGATGTCTGCCTCTGAGTTGTATCTGCAGAAAGAACTTTTGTATTAATTCTCGGCCTATAGGATTTTCTTTTGCCATTTTATTGCAGAATTATTTACTCAGCCTCTGCATTTTTGTCATCTCTTCTCTTTTTGCTCATTTTTAACTAGCTTTAGAAGTTATACAGCGACTGCTGCTGATTACATAGATTTTAAGCGGAATGGTTATAGCTACTTACAAGTTCTTTCCCCCTGTTTTAGGCCGGAAAGCATATATGAATCTCTTGGACAAAATCTACAAACAGAGTGACATTTCTTGGTTTACCCCAGTGGAGCTTTTCAAGGTGGTCTTTAATCTCTAGGTTCCCTGAGATCTTATGGGAACTTTCTATACACCCTACTTCTCCTGTTTTATATTATCAATCTTCTCTTGTAGCCTTGGTATGCTCATGGCATTGCAGAAGCCATACTGAGAACCACAAATCTCAAAGTTCCTCTAAAGGTATGCTTTATGTGATCCTCCATATCCGATCATATATCTATTTTTAGGACTTCTCAAATCTATTTTAAGACAAAAGAGAGTGTGCAGTTTAGTATCTGATTCATCTAGAATATAGGAAGCCTTGAACAAGTAGAATTTGCTTAGCCATCTTTACCATTTTACCTACCACCCGATAAGAGAACTAGTTAGCCATAGTTTATGCTGGAAGCACGATTTACCTTGTGTGTTTAGTTTCACTTTGCAAACATGATTACAGGGTAGAAAGAGGGATGCCATAATTTTTTTTTCCGAATCTTATGTGTTTTGGAAATTTTGATTTTTTAAATACGGGAGGATTCTCACTACCGTTTGTGAGTTTAGATTACTTCTGTAAATTGCTGACACTTAAAACATATATTCAGATATATGAAATTGGAGGTGGTTCTGGAACTTGTGCCAAGGGTATATTGGATTACATAATGTTGAATGCTCCTGAGAGAATCTACAACAACATGACCTACACGTATGTATGTCGTGTTTCCTTTATTTTAAAGCACTTGGGCTTTGGCTAGCGTGATGGTACACATTCATCTTTGTGTGGAATTGCACCACAGTTTATTCAAATGGAATATAAGTATCTTTTTGGCGTGTCATGTGATATACACCAGTTCTATAGAAATCAGTCCTTCATTGGCTGATATTCAAAAGGAGACTGTTGCACAAGTTGGAAGTCATATGTCGAAGTTTCGAGTCGAGCG